CTTAAAAAAAAAAAAAAAAATTGGCTGGGCATGGTAGTGTGCACCCATGGTCCCAGCTACTCAGGAGGCTGAAGCAACAGGATTGCCTGAGCATAGGTGGTTGTGGCTGCAGTGAGCCTTGATGGCAACACTGCACTCCACCCTGGGTAACAAAGTGAAACCCTGTCTCAAAAAAGAAAAACAAACAAACAAACAAAAACTAGTCTGAATATTAACTAAAGCAGGGAATCGGGAAGGAGAGCTGATTCCAGAGTAAGGAATGACTTTGGTTATCAATTTGGTGCATTCATGAGGCAGGGTAGGGGGATATTTTTAGAGAAGTAGCTGCTAGGCCTGGATCTCAGCAGAGGGATTGCTCAGTGCAGAAGGCAGGCAAGCTCAGGAAGGAGGGTCAGGGTGAAACCTGGAGCCCTGTTTCTTCTAGTGAGGTCTGATGGTCCCTTTAGCCTGCTGTCTGGGATCACCCTCTATTTACAATTCTGACTTTGTAATCATGCTTCCTGGGGGTTCTGAGGAACTTTCAAAATTGGAGAACATCTGGCTCAGGGAATAAGTGTATTAGGAAGCTGGGAGAAGTGGAAATAGCCGAAACTGGGAGATTCTAGCTTCTGCAAGGGGGTAAAATAATGTTGAGAACTTTTTTGGTTTCTATGTGCCTTTTCTTCAGGTTCAAAATTTGCTTCCTCTGCTATTTCAACCAAGGGATTGCCTAATGTCTCCAGAATATTTCTTTTATTTTTATTTTTATTTTTTAGAAGGAGTCTTGCTCTGTCTCCCAGGCTGGAGTACAATGGCATGATCTCAGCTCACTGCAACCTCCACCTCCCGGATTCAAGTGATTCTTATGACTCCTGAATAGCTGGGATTATAGGCACACCCCACCACGCCTGGCTAGTTTTTGTATTTTTAGTAGAGACAAGGCTTCACCATATTGGCCAGGCTATTCTTGAACTGCTGACCTCAAGTGATCTACCCATCTTGGCCTCCCAAAGTGCTGGTATTACAGGCGTGAGTCACCACGCCCAGCCTTCAGGAAAGGAAAAAAGTTCTGTAGTGCTATCTCCTTAGACCAAATGGAATCTGGTAATGTCTTCTTTAAATAGAGAAGCTATGAAATTTAGCTCTTAGTGAGTAAATATTAGAATGGCCAAGTCTGCTACTTTATTCATCCCAGGAGAAGAAAAATAATAAAAATTGATGAAAATATTTTTAAAAATTTGAGTATCGATAAATTATTGCTTATAAATTTCACATTTTCATATATAAAAAATTTTAATATCTTAAAAAAATGAATATCAAGTAACTCTCTCTCCCCTACCTACTCCTCACCTTGAATCCTGTTTACTAAACAGCTTTCCTCCTGAGCACAGTCTATGGCTCCCTTGTAGACCTAAGAATCTACCACTGCTCTGCAAAGTAACCTGAAACACAGGTTGTTTTCTTTGGTTTTCATCACTAACTGACACTGGAGTCAGTAAACTTTGCTATTTGCCTTAAATGTCAGAACCATTTCTGGTAACCTAATAACTGAGTTATTAAGGATTCTTTACATAGGATACCATTTAGAATATAAACCAACATGCATAAGCTCACAATCTTCTCTTTTGTAGTAATTTACAAGCACTTCCCATACATTTCAATTATTTGGTACCCACAAAGTGCTCCTTCACTAGGAAAAACAGGCTAGGTGTACTATGATCAAAACTATGTGAGATCACTGCTCGAAATTATTATAAATCCTAGCTTGTGCATTAAGTATTAATGTAAACTTCACAACTTAAGACCTCTTTATTCTATAAAATATATAAAAAAGGATACCCAGAAACAGTCCAGTAGAAAAGCAGGTGATTAATTCAGCATGCTATATGCTGCTATAATCAGTCAAAACATACCTTCGAACGCAATCTAAGCCAACAATATAAAAAAGTCAGAGGCAGTGAACTAAGGACCTACTAAGAATACAAAACGAAGTCACAAGTAATTTCACCCTCGAAGCCTAGCACACCCTTTGCTTCTGTTCTTGTTCTCTACTCTTAGGATCTCTCTGAGGTTTATTAATGGTTCCCGGATCTCCCAGCTGGAGCTTCTGCTGAATCCAAGGCACTACCCTTATCAAGAGAAAGAGATGTGAGAAGTAAAACAGATATAGACAAATTTAAAAGTAAAAAGAAAACAACAGAAATGACCACAATGTGAAAGAGTAACAAAAAATTCAAATGGAAAAAATATGAGAGTTACTGACAAAGTAAATGGCATAAGAAAAAGTAATATACATTTTTTAAATGACAAAAAAAAAAAAAAAGAGGATGAACCTACAAGCACTAAGGGAGTTAAAGCTGTTCACTTCTAACACATAGTTTGTGAAAATGTTAGCAGTAGAATGTTGGAGGAATGCTAATTGAATTGTGAGCAACTTCACTTAGGGTGGTCCAGTTACATCCTTGGAGACAAAGGATAAATTTTCAATTAAAAACACTAAGGCCAACTACCAGCTTACAGGAAACAGAAGGGCAAATGAACATGGTAAATGATGCCACAGGAATACAGTCATCAAAATCCAGACTGGAAAAACCTTCCACAAACAAATTATAAGGAAAAAAAAAAAAGGACTAAGAGGAGTTTATATTTTAAAATAGATTTAAAAAACAGCAACAAAGCAACAATTTGTAAACTTTATTTGGATCCCCATTCAAATAAATAAATGTAAAAACAAGAATGATCTTTATGAGAAAATTAGGAAGTTGAACACTAACTAGATACATATACACATATTTTTAGAGATGGGGTCTCACTATGTTGCCCATGCTGCACTCAAATTCCTGGGCTCAAGCGATCCTCCTGCCTCAGCTTCCCAAGTAGCTGGGATTACAGGCATGTGCTGCCGTGCCTGTCTTAGATAATAATATTTTAAAATTACTGTTAATAATTCAGATATGTGATAATGGTGTTGTAGTTATTTAAGAGTTTTTATCTTTCAGAGACATATACTAACACACTTATGAATAAAATAATATCTAGGATTAAAAGTAATTCCCGGGGTTACAGCACAGATAAAACAGGATCAGTTATGAGCTGACAACTGTTGAAACTGATAATGGAATCCTGAAGCTTCATTATACTAGTCTCCCAATTTTGGTATTTGTTTGGACTTTTCTATACACACACACACACACACACACACACACACACACGCACAGAGAGAGAGAGAGAGAGAGAGAGAGAGAGAGAGAGAGGGAGGCAAGGATGGATGTTAGTGCAAACTCCTGACTGGGAGTTCAAATGTTGCCAATGACAACAGTCAAAATGTACACGCTATCCCTAAGGACTGCTCCTAAATATCATAGTTCTAATAGGCAAATAAAGGCAACAAATCAATAGGAATGAAGAAAAGAAAACACTCTGACATAGTCCTAAAGCTACAATAAAAAATGCTGATTTCCTAGCTGGTATAGACTGAAAGCTTTTTATTTACATTTCTAGGTCTGTGACACACGAGTTGTGACAGGTGTTGTCCTTACAACTCAGCTGTTTGACATGTGTGTATGAAAGCACTTAACATGCCATTATCAAATTGCAAATGTGCTGAGAAAACTCAATGAAACAGGGTGGTAAGGGTACTCACCAGCACTGCACTCCTGGGCTACTAGGTTAAGAACTTCAACAGCTGCTGGACATTGTTGTATGAATTCTTCACAAAATAAGCTGTCTTCTAAAAGCTGGGCCATGACCAGGCATGCTCTTAATGTTAAAAGATTTACAATATTTCAAAGTCATCAGTGTTCATTGTCTAAAAAAGTCAACTGTGAAAAACATTTCAATCAATTTTGTCCCCCAATTTAAAATAAGGTTCAAACTCCCCACTCCTCTTGCTTTTTCTGAGCTGGACTGTCTTGGAAATATATAAGCAACTTCTCTTTTGCCACACAGTAACTGCTGACACTGCATGAAGAATTGGAAAAGGGAAAAAAGGCTGCCATAACCACTAAATGATGACACAAAGTGCCAGGTGAGGAATTAGTCCTGTCTCTTAAAAAGCTTTTCCTACACTGTGCCCTAGGGGCATTAGAGCTCCGGAAGCAAGAGGGATTCAAAAACTGGGAAAATCTGTATGGCGACGGATCTCATCTGATTGAAAATACATACTGGAAGTTTCTAAGAAGTTCCATTGTTGGCTGGGCATGGTGGCTCACACCTATAATGCCAGCACTTTGGGAGGTTGAGACAGGTGGATCACCAGAAGTCAGGAGTTTGAGACCTGCCTGGCCAACATGGTGAAACCCTGTCTCTACTAAAAACATAAAAATTAGTCAGCCAAGATGGCATGTGCCGGTAATCCAAGCTACTCAGGAGGCTGAGGTAAGAGAATCACTTGAACTAGGGATGTGGAGGTTGCAGTGAGCCGAGATCAAACCACCGCACTCCAGACTCCAGCCTGGCCGACAGAGTGAGACTCTGTCTCAAAAAAAAAAAAGGATAAAAAATAAGTTCCATTGTCAAAAAGATACTTCTTAGTGTTGTTTAATGGTAAATAAAATGTATTTGCAGGAAAACACTAACATCAGCCCTTCTGTGCATGTCCTAGTTTTCCCATCATAAGTTTGTAAAGTGATAGACCAGATATGTATCAATGTAGCCTGAACCATTTTGTTTATTTATTTATTTAATTATTTGAGACAAAGTTTCGCTCTTGTTGCCCAGGCTGGAGTGCAGTGGTCCGATGTCAGCTCACTGCAATCTCCACCTCCTTGGGTTCAAGCAATTTTCCTGCCTCAAGGTGGCAGAGTTATTCCTGTGATGGAACAAAGTTCTTTTAACAAAGCAAATCAGTGTAGCCTTACGTATGTATTTCATACATCACAATTCATTTGTTCTTTTTTTTCTTAGGTGAACAGCTAATCTTTATTTTGAAGTGTAGACACTGGGGAACGCAACAAAAAATGCAGAAATAAAGCAATGCAAGGAACTGTGGTAAACACAGTGTAAAAGAATGGTTACTGTTGCTCAGCTTAGCATGGGCTTCAAGCTGTGGACTCACTAAGTTGGGAGTGGAGGGGCCCACCAAGGTCTCCTTCTTCTGTCAGCTTGTACCACCTCAGCACATCAGGCAATGTGGGGAGGGTACTCACCTTGTCCTTATTTCAGCAAGGAGCCGAACGACTGCCATCACAGGAGCTGACCCATCTCCTGTTGCAGGAAGTGAGGTGTGAATAGAGAGACTTCCCTCCTGAGGAAGCAACATGGACTGGACTGCCTGTACTACCTTCTCAGTAATGGACAGTTTATGAAGAGGCAATGCCTGATGGTGGTGGGGGGGCATGGCAAAAAGTTAAATTCAAGTAGTTAGTTTATAAGAAATGAGGGTGTTATTATTACCTGGAGTTAATTCTTAAATTTTCAGTTAAGAAAATAAAATCCCCATATAGAAAATTACAAACCACATCAAAACAATTAAAAATACACTGTAGAACAGCCCTAAACAACAAAGAAATGAATTTGGTCATCTAGATGAAAATTTTCACACAACCATTACTATTGAGTAATTATAACTGATATATAAATATACATCACAAGTACAATTTAAGATAACCCAGCATCTGTGTTTCTGCACTGAGCATGCGCACAGACTCATTACAGTACAATTACCATTGGCAGTGACATTTTATGAAGCATTTAAAAATCACCTTACCTCTGATCTTGGAACACAAAGTCTAGACAATGGAATAGTCAATGTGTCTGATGCTTGCGAAGTCTTTCTACAGTCTATGGGTGGGAATCTGACTGTAGCTATACCTTCCTGTTCATTGATAGAAGCCACCACTCCAATGCTTCCTGAGATTCCTCTACCTAAAACCTGGAGACAGAGATAGATTAGCCCTACCGACCAGCTCTGATGTGTGGGCAGCTGTCTCATGAGACAAGAGGAAAGAGTACATTTAAAGCTGTCATTGGCATTACGGTAGTTTATACTATTAAGATGGCAGATACCAAGCCCTAGACATGAATTCTCATAGGCCCTAAAACCTAACTGCAAGGTGATCACAACAAGCTATCATCTCAAACAGAAATTTGTTACTGCTAGGCTGGGTGCAGTGGCTCACGCCTGTAATCCCAGCACTTTGGGAGGCTGAGGCAGGTGGATCACTTGAGGTCAGGAGTTTTGGACCAGCCTGGCCAGCATGGTGAAACCCCATCTCTGTTAAAATTACAGAAACTAGCTGGGCGAGGAGGTGGGCACCTGTAATCCCAGCTACTCAGGAGGCCGAGGCAGGAGAACTGTTTGAACCTGGGAGGCAGAGGTTGCAGTGAGCCGACATCGCATCAATGCACTCCAGTGTGGGCGACAGAGCAAGACTCTAAGAAAAAAAAAATTGTTACTGCTGTTTAATGGCAAATAAGGATTTGCAGGAAAAGACTGTTTTCCTTCCATGCTAATTCCACCTTCAATTCTAAGACTGATATTGATCACACTACAGGAAACAAGTATTGCAGTTAACTTGAGACAGTATTGCATTAATATGTGAATAATGTATGGCACAGTGTGGATTTGAATTCAAGAGTTTCTCAGATTCCTTATTTAGCTTGAAGATACAAGTTTTTTTTTGTCTAAGTAGTTGGATAATACTTGTCTTACAGATGATCGATTAATCAATGGATGCTTACATATATAGGAGAACCAATTATTTGGGGAAAATGGTGGTTGGTACCTGAACCTCAGATCCTATCTTGATTGTCTCTTTGAAGCCTCCAAGTGCACACAGAGCGGCAACAGCCTGGCGGGCAATTCTCTGAAGTTTGGCAAGTTTCCTCCCACTGCTGCTGCCATTTTCCAGAATGCTTTCTGCGTATTTCCCCAATTGTGGAATGTACATCAGTGCCCGAGACAGAACCTAAATATAAGAAGGAGCCATGCACTAGGAGTTAACGCTTTGGTTGTTTTGATATCAAGGGTGATAAAGTGTCTACAACAGTGCCTGGGTCCTATGTATTGAAGGAACTCTGGACATGTGAGGCACCAAAAAAGTATCAGGTATGGCCAGTGACATTTGCCCATATTTGTCTATGTAATTGGACATAACTGGAAATATACAACTGGGAGAATCAAACATCATGTTACTAAAACCTCTAAAATAAAACAATCACTTATCTGAAGGAAAACCATCCCAGCATACTGTCCACTTATCAACACTCAATTACCTTCAGGACATGTCATAAGGGGTTCTCTTGAAGAGTGGCTGTGGAAAGGGGGAATTGATTACAGATCTCTAGTTTCAGGCAGCTGGGCTACTGTTTGTAATGATGAATCACTTACTGACAGGGCACTCAGGCAGTATAAATCATGCAGAGGCCTCCTTGGACTTAGTGAGTATACTTAAACAAATCCAATAAATCAAGGCTGCAAGATCTCCTAATGTCAGTACCAATCTAACATAAGCAAGAAGAAGAGAAACAAATCCTGCCATTCTTTCCCTGAGAATGCTGTCCTAAATTCTGCAAAATGAGAACCAGCAGTGACAGGAGACGTAGTTTAACAGAGATGAAACTACTGTAGCAAAGCAAATTCCAGGGGAAAGTTGGTTAACAGGTATATCTGGCAAATTTGGAAAATTTCTCTTTATTAAAATGCCCCTTGCTGGGTATGATTCTAATTCTAATTAACTTACTTCTTACTGTCTCAGTTAAGTAGCAACACTGCACTAACCTTCTCTGCTGTTGTGGTCCATATTTGAGCAGCATTTGATTCAGGTGCCATGAGCAAGCTATGTAGCAAGGCGATCACTTCTGCAGCCATGCTGTTTGCCACGTGCCCACTGATGAAGGGACGCACGGGATCAGTCCTGCAAATGTCAACAGGGAAAAGTGTCAGTGCCCAGTGATGAGTAAGACTGCAAGGAAGTGGCTTTCTGGGTTAACATCAGAGGGAAACCATTTTTATTTATACAAGAAAAAGTGGATTCCGTTGACTGAGAAAACAAGAAACTACATTATCTTTAGGAAGAAATCACTGTGCCACATTCTTTGTGGTATCTGAATAACTGTCTCCAACAATGGACCTCAGACTTTATTTGTAAGCCATAAGGATCAAGGAGAAATACTGCATTGCAACTATTCCTGGCTTTCAAGCACAAAACACCTCGAACGAACTTCACAGAGGCAACACTTAACTGTTGCTTCTGCTCCTAGAAAGAAGTTTGTGTTCAGTTGGGTCAGTGGGAATGTACCATTTGTAAGAAATAAAGGTAGCAAGAACAGAGTTTACTAATACTACTCAAAAGAATCCTCTGGCTATAAATGCGGAGGATTTATAGCCTGGTGGGAGCATCCCTCTATTCTTTCATGACAACCTCAGACCTACTTGGATGGTCATTATTCTCCAAGGTACTCCCAGGCTGCACCTTGAGTACAACTGCTACAGCAGATGGGGCCTCATTACCAAGAGGTCAAGGGGATGGTAGAAAATTTAAAAGCCAAAAACAAACCCATTATAAAGTAAACCTGAGATGAGTGCGGACAGCTTCTACTTGTGGAAGCTTTACCTCGCAAGTTCGGAGTTCCTCTCTCGGCAAATTGAAGTTTGGGCGGTTTTCTTTTTGTCGCCTGTGGATAGTCCAATCACAGTCTCTGGGTTGATGGACTCTACCGGTGGCCCAATGCTGACGATGAGGCCTGACTGTGCCCACTTGGTGGCTTTCCTCAGGGCAGCTGTAGCCTCTTCTGTAATCACTTCACAACAGCCACCCTGGGGGTAAGGTTGAAGACACGGAGAATATTTATTTCACTCTTCCCAGCACTGTATTTTTCAAGTCTCTTTCCCCTCAATTACCAAAGCAATCCAGGCTGTTTTTAAAAATTCAAATATAAAATATTATACATAGAGAGTAAAATTTCCATAGACATCCCAGGCTTCATCCAGGCTGAGATAATGGTTAGTCATCTAGATTACTTCTGTGCAAATTCTGGCATACGTATCACAGGGCTCCGACACATAGGCTGCACTTCATTTTGCTTTTATCAGTTATCAGTGTATCTTGGAGGCTCTTCTATATCAATACATGGAGATCTACCTCATTGTTTTTCATATTTGCACAGTATTTCATTATATGACTGTAATAATTTCTTTAATCAATCCCCTATTTATGAGTATGTGGATCCTGTTTTTTGTTTTTGTTTTGTTTTTTTGAGACAGAGTCTTGCTCTGTCACCCAGGCTGGAGTGCAGTGGTGCAATCTTGGCTCACTGCAACCTCTGCCTCCTGGGTTGAAGCGATTCTCCTGCCTCAGCCTCCCAAGTAGCTGGGATTACAGGCGCCCACCACCACACCCGGTTAATTTTTATATTTTTTAGTGGAGACAGGGTTTTGCCATGTTGGCCAGGCTGGCCTTGAACTCCTGAGCTCAGGTGATCCGCCTGCCTCGGCCTCCCCTCAAAGTGCTGGGATTATAGGCGTGAGCCGCTGCGCCTGGCCTATTTTGTTTGTTTTTTCAAACAAAACTGTGAAGAACACACTGCATTTATCTCTGGACACTTCAGACTTTATTTACCCTCACCTTGACAATAATGGGTATTCTTAATCTTTCTTAACTTTACTTGTCTGACAGATGAAAAACGACACATTACTATTGTTTTTATTCCTTTCCTTTAATTATCTGTGAGCCTGGGCATATTTTTATATTTTTAGTAAGGTGTTTGTAATTCTTATTATCTGCTATTCACTTGGCAACTTTTCACCGATTTTCAACTGTCACATATCTCAAACTATTTTTAGGCTATTAAACTATTTCCAATTTCAAACTATTAAACTTTCTTAAAAGAGCTAAGAACAAACTTCTAGGTCAAAACTAAAAGTTCTGATCTTGACAAACTGATTTTGACTAGTTCTCTTTAAAATGGCCTCAGTTATGCCACTGACCTCAATTCTCACTTTGCCTCTTTGTTGGAACTTGAACTAAGTTTGCCTTTTCTCAATTTGTTCTGAAAATCTAAAGCATGATAAGCACTCTTCAATCACGGATTGAATAGGAGCAGGTTTCCCTTCATAAGATTACCTTGGTCATGTCTCGATCCATCTTCACAACTTTCTCCATGTTGGCGCCAGTACCAAGTCGGAAGGGTCGTCCTTCTGAACTACTAAAAAAAGGCAGGCAGAGAGCAGAGCACACCTTACAGGCACTGCCAAAAGTGGGCTACATGCCATGGGGCCACCCACCCACCGTCAGGCCCCATTATACACAAACGTTAGGTGTTTTTTTTTGTTTTTTTGAGACAGGGTATTGGTCTGTCGCCCAGGCTGGAGTGTAGTGGCATGATCACAGCTCACTGCAGCCTCGACCACCCCAGGCTCAGGTGATTCTTCCACCTCAGCCTCCCAAGTAGCTGGGACCACAGGTGCACGCTACCATGCCTGGCTAATTTTTGTATTTTTTGTAGAGATGGGGTCTCACTGTGTTGCACAGGCTGGTCTCGAACTCTTGGGCTCAAGCCATCCTCCTGCCTTGGACTCCCAAAGCACTGGGATTACAGGCATGAGCCACCATGCCTAGCCCTCTAACACTAGCTTTTAAAATCCACTAAGACTCAATTTTTCAAAAGGAAGTAATTTATTACTGCTTAATTATATCACTTTAGGGCCTAAAACAACAGTGCTTTAGAGCTATAAGATTATCTAGAAATCCACATGAAAATAATGTACAAAATAAAAAACTGACATGAACCCAGAACAAATGCAGGGTCTAAGGACGTCATCTAAACCCCAAGGAGAGGGAACTTTAATGACAGCATGGATGTGATGCTTTGGTGAATGACTGGATCTTCCTTTCTAATAGTTCAGTTTTCCCTGCCTCCTGAACTTGGCTCTCCAAAAAATCTTTGACCAAATTTGTGCTATGACACAATGCAATGTCCAGGAATGTTCCTTGGAGATTTCCTCATGTAAGCCCTGACCTGCCATAATCCTGCTTATGGTCCCATTAGGGTTTTTGGTTGCCATAATGGCAGACGAGGGATTCAGCTATGAGGGTAACAACATTGTCAGTGAAGTAAAGAGAGGCCTCTTCCATCTGAGACATAAACACCTGCTCTGAATTCCCTTGTGCTATGTGGCAAGCCTTCCTGTTGCCCTGAATCCCACTAATAAAGCCCTGCAGGTTTATAATATTTTGAGCAATGATTACATTTTTACTTTCTTCTTGAGTCATCATACCATTTCACACTTCAACTAATTAAAGCTTTAAAAACAGTGTCTCTTGTTTCTCCAACTCACAGTCAATGAGCTGGAGTTTACCTAAATTTACCAACAGCTGAAAAATGCCAACAACTAAAAATCCAACTGCATTTTCCTTCTCAAAGCCCAAGTCACACTGGAGACTTCCCATAGACAATAATACATCGTCCACATGGCTTTAGCTCTCAGTTGGGTATAGAGAGACAGTACCAAGTCGTGATTCAGAGTTTGGGTTCTATGGTCAGACAGGACTACATTTACATTTCAGCTCTGCCTCAGTTTCTTTCTGTGTCACCACAGGAATCACAGTGACAGTGTCTATCTGCAAGGGTTGTAAAGAGGGCTGAGGCAGTTGATACATGTACAGGGCTTACTTAGCACAGTGCCTGTGACATGGGTGGTGCTTGAGGACCTGTAGCTATCACAATCATTACGGTCACCTTAGCAATGGTTGGAGGACTTCATGGGATGACTGATCTTCCCGCTTGTGGATAAATATCGAGAGCTTGCCATCCACAGCTTCACTCTCTTCTCCAGGATCTTTATCTCCTTTCAAGGAATTCTTGGGACTGGTTTTTGTCAATGTGGTGTCAGGTTCGGAAGCGGTTGGAGAAAGAACTGTCTGACATCCTTTAAGCAAAAAACAAAGTTCATTCAGGAAAACTGTCGTGTTTTGGCGGCTCTACTAAAATGAAAAACATGGTTTGGGGTTTGGAATCTCTCTTCCCCCTTCTCTATTCCTCTGTGTCTGCTCCCTTCTCTGTCACTCTCTCTTTCATCACAGGAAGCATAGATGCAAGTGGGGACCTGACCGGGCACAGAAAGGATGCACTGCCATGCCACTCTCCTGTTCAGGAGCGTCTCACCTGGAACCACGTAATCTGCCAGCTTTGCTAAGAGCAAGGAGGCGATCTTGGAAGCTGGGTCGCTGGGATCCTCCTGCTCACTGTTTAAGGATGGGACAGAGTAGCTCCAGGGTGGGAGCTCCACGTTTCCACAGTCTTCTACGCTCATCAGGGGCAGCGCTGCCCGGCACAGCTGGAGAATAATAAGGACCAGCTTTGGAGACGGGCGTTGGTCAAGCAGCAGGGAGAGAAGTTTGGACACACAAGCTGGCTGGCTCAGGATGGCTTTACCTATGTGGCTCCTGCAAAAAAAGGAAGAAAACATAAACTGTGCTGAAAATGCTGATCTATAGACATTCAGAAGCAAGAGTTCTCTAAATGAAATAAACCAATGAAATCTGATTTCAGGAAGAAGACATGAATTTGGCACTATGCTTCTGTGAAGAATTAAGAATTTTGGAAACATTTGATGAAACCAAATGACCACTAATACTTAAAAAGAAAGATGTTTAAATATTTTCTGATCTCTGATGTTTGCTTAATTGAGATCCTAAATTCAGAGTGCTTCATGGAGCACTGAGACTTACAAACTCAAATGAAGAGCTTTTCTGTTTGTCATTTATTCTTTCATTTTTTTTAATAGGAAAAAAGGACATACAAATTTATTTAACATGTATACAGGAGCCTTCAGAGTGAAGACCAAATTTCCCATGAGTTACAGAAGCTTATATACTATCTTGAGGTTACAGAAACAATGGGAGCTTGGATCCTGGTAAATCAGGTTATGGGAGAGGGGAGGAGAAGTATTCTATTGAGGGGCAATAAATGATTGCTAGGGAGAATGACTGGATCTGGGAACAGAGATTAACTTGTAAATAGAATTTATGTCATTTATTCTTTCTTAATGAGTACCTCAAGACCAAAGCCATCACACAGTGTTGAACAGGCTTCAACATTCTGGAATCTGCCAAATCTAAAACTGTTACATTCCAAGGAAGCTAGATAACCTGCAGTTAGTCGTTATGTGGACATTTTAAGGGCCCCATGGCCCACACAGGGGATATACAACCAGCACAGAATAACTTCTTTTAAAGACACAGTAAGAGAAAGTGAGTTAATTACAGGCCCTGACTCATTACTCTTTAATCTTGCTAGAATGAGGGTAAGATAAGATTTTTGGTTAATGAATACAACTGCATCTATGGGAAAGGTTAGCAGTTGCTGTCAGTAAGCTATTAAAGCAAATGATAATATTTTATGATTTAGCTATTCACCTAAATAATCCTTACATTTTGGAACTAAATACTATGTTTCAATGACTTTATTCTCCATTACTATTATTTTTTTTTTGAGGCAAGAATGTGTCAAAACGACCTAGTAATTTAGCTATTTCAAAAGACAACCACCACCAAAAGAAACCCCAATCATTCAAGAGGAAAGCTAGCTTCTCCCAGAGCTCCGGGCTGGGCCATGCATACCTTGAGAGATCATTGAGAAGACTAAGGACATCCTGGAGTGCGTCATTCCCAGCAGCCTGGTTGCCACAGCACTCTGTGGCTCGGGCAAGGTGGTTGGTGAGAAGGCTGGACACCTGCCGGGCCAGACCTGAGTGCACAGCCTCTGTAGAGCCACCTTCACAGTTAAAGAGAGAAAAAAAGAGGTTGTAAAAACCTAAGGCTGCCATGGTGAGCCTGCAGGGTGGTGAGCCCTGTCCTTGACTAATTTTTCTTTATCTTGTTCAATGTTCCATGAACCATCCAATTACTGTCTCCTTATTAGATAATATCTATATATAAAAAGGATAATAGTTAAAAATAACTCAATGTTGGGGGTAGACATTACTATTAATGAAAATTGAGTATGATTAATCCATACATAACCAAACAACATACTTAACTGATAGGGAAAAATCACTATTTCACTGGTGATGAAAACATCTTGATGTTTTAACTCATACTTTCCCAAACACAATAAAAAACCTTTCTGGATTATTCCACATTCACCATAGTTCCAGAACCTCCCAAGCATCCCTTGTAAAAGTTATGAAAAAATATTTGTCATTTCCTGAACTTTCCATGCTCTTTTAGATCCCTGAGTCTAAACATGCTGTTTGTTCTGCTTGAAGGATGTTCTCCATCCTTCAAGAATAACTCCTGTGTCATGTTCTCTGGGAAGCTTTGCCAGCTCCCTAGCACAACTGGTCTTTGACACCTCTACACTCCACTGCACTTCCTATCCACCTAAGTTGTGGCACTGATTACACTACAAGTATTTGCTTATTGGTCTATCTCCCTGCCAGACCTTTTTTTTTTTTTTGAGACAGAGTCTCCCTTTGTTGCCCAAGCTGGAATGCAGTGGCATGATCTTCGCTCACTGCAACCTCCACCTCCCGGGTTCAACTGATTCCCCTGCCTCAGCCTCCTGAGTAGCTGGGATTACAGACGTGCACCACCATGCCCAGCTAATTTTTGTATTTTTAGTAGAGATGGGGTTTCACCATGTTGGCTAGTCTGGTCTTGAACTCTTGACCTTGTGATCCACCTGCCTCCCAAAGTGCTGGGATTACAGGTGTGAGCCACTGCACATCTTAGACCATATTTTTAAAGGGAGAAACAATGGCTTATTCATTTTTTGCCTGGGATACAACAGACTCTCAAGACATTAAAATGCATCATGAACAAATAAACAGATAAATAAGCAAGTTATATACACAGGACTGAAAGGGGAAATTTATCCTTCAAGTTACTTTTTAAAAAAAATTTAGGTAGAGAAAAGAGAGGAAAAGGAGAAGGACAGAAAGACTTCCACAAAGAGTGTGGAAGGGGATTCCAGAGGGGAAATCCAGGAGGGGAAAAAGAGCTCCCACCATGTGGGAGGGGATTCCAGAGAGCTGGAAATTCCTACTTTTTTTTTTTTAATTGCATTTTAGGTTTTGGGGTACATGTGAAGAACATGGAAGACTGTTGCATAGGTACACATGTGGCAGTGTGATTTGCTGCCTTCCTCCCCCTCACCTATATCTGGCATTTTCCCCCATGCCATTCCCCCCTCAACATCCCACCCCCCACTGTCCCTCCCCTATTTCCCTCCAACAGACCCCAGTGTTGAACAATGAGAACACATGGACACAGGGAGGGGAGTACTTTTTTTTTTTTTTTTTTTTTTTTTTTTTTAAACAAGATCTTGCTCTGTTGCCCAGGGAGTGCAGTGGAATGATCACAGCTCACTGCAGCCTTGACCTCCTTGGCTCAAGCAGTCTTCCCACTTCAGCCTTCTGAATAGCTGGGACTATAGGCACGTGTTACTGTAACCAGCTCAAGTTTACTTTTTATTTGAATTGGTCACTAAAAACAAAATTTGGAAACATCACCTTGAAAATGCAACTGAGAGGCCACTTCAAAAAATATTTGTTTTTTTTGAATGCCAAGGTGCGAGGACTGCTTGAGGCCAGGAGTTTGAGACCGACCTGGGCAACACAGCAAGATCCTGTCTCTAAAAACAAACAACAACAAAAAAAACACTAGCTGGGCATGGTAGAGTGCACCTGTAGTCTTACTTGGGAGGCTGCGGTTGGGGGATTGCTTATTGCTTGAGCCAGGGAGGTTGAGGTTACAGTGAGCTATGATTGTACCACTGTACCCTAGCCTGGGTGACAGACTTTATGTCTAATAATTTTTTTAAATTAAAAAAAAAATCTATTTGGAGATTGTTAGCAGTGCTGACAGGGTAAGAATAAAAAATACCTTCTCAATTTCCTGGAGTTACTGTACTCCCTCAGGGAGTACAGTAAGGATAAGTCTCTCATGAAATCATCCACTGATTTGACTTATCTGATCATGTCATTTAACAGAGGCTTTCTTTCTCTTATTTAGCACAGACAATCTAATAAACTAATACACCAACAGAAGAAATCAGTGAGCTCTAGAAAAGAGTCCGGCATCTCACCTTCTTCTTTTTCCCACTCAACACAGCGGTTGGCAAGCACCTGGAAGGCGGCCCAAGCCATGGTGGCCACCTTCTGCTTCTTGGTCTGTTTCTCACTGGAGCTGGACTCGGTCTGACTGCTCAAGCTACACAGGCGATCCATGAGCTGCACAAGGCCACTGCGTACCAGGCACTTCTCTTCACTCCTGACAAAGGGTCATGGATTGCACTAGATAAACATAACTGACCAACACTCATGAAACTCTCATTGAGGTTCAAAGCATCAAAAGGGCATAAAACATGCTGGTATAGTTCTTTCCCTACAACTTAGGATACTGCCATGTGCAATCAAACACAAAATGATTTTCTTATAATGATGATTCCCTTCATTAACAAAGAACTTCAAATTCTGGTTTATTACAACACCAAAGCAAAAAAATGGATGCAATCAACTCATTGTTGCCATGATGGAAAAAAATAATATATTTGTCCTAAGGGAATTCAATTAATGCTTGACATCTTCAAATTAGTAACTAAGTGACCCAAGAGAGAAAATAAATGTGCATATACAAAATATTTCTGCCAAATATGTAAGTAATTTTCTAGGGACGTTTTATTTTTCTTTGAACCTCCATATCGTCACAATGTAATATAATCCTAATGGTTGCATTTAGTCATCTAGGAGCTCAATAATAAGAAATTTACATAGGAACCTTAGGTGTCTTTCAGGAGAAAAGTTTTGTTTAGTTAGTTCCCAAATAATGAAAGCAAAAAATCCAGTTTTTAATATTAAAAATACTTTCACTTAATCGACTATACTGCAGTGTAACTTACATACAACAAAAGGCCTTTCTGTACTTACCTCGTGTAAGGTATGGTACATAAAAGTCCAATGCTATTTGCACAAGCGATGGGGTAACGAGCACACAAAGACACAACAGAGGTCATGGTCTCGCCAAAGGCTTCCTGGACCTGCTCGACCATCCCACCACATGTGAGTTCTTCAATTCTGTGAAAAAGAAACCAAAGCTCAGGCTTCTGGAACCACATCAAGAACAGTGGATGTGACCATGTGAGCAGGCGAGGCCTCGAGAAACTCTAGCATATCTGGATGAATCCAGAACTGAAGGGATCTTAGAGACTATCCAACTCACTATTTCCCAAACTATGTAAGACTGAGGTATGCCTCCAAAACAGTGGTTCACACTCCAGAAAAGTCTGGGAAATCCTGGGTTAAGGAAATTAAAAACAGACTACTGTAGGACTGTTCAGAGCCTTTAATAAGGGTAAAGTGAACAGCCTCTCTCTACAAGCAGAGAACATACAACACTTCCCAAACTTATCTGATCATGAAATCAGTACAATAACCCAAGTAGCACTGAATACTGTAAGTGCTTTTTTTTTTTTTTTAATTTTTTTGAGACAGGGTCTTGCTCTGTTACCCAGGCTGGAGTACAGTGGTACAATCACAGCTCACTGCAGCCTTGGCCACTTGGACTCAGGTGATCCTCCCACCTCTGCCTCCCAAGTAGCTGGGACCACAGATGCACACCACCACATCCAGCTAATTTTTTTGACTTTTAGTAGAGATGATGTTTCACTATGTTGTCCAGGCTGGTCTCAAACTCCTGAGCTCAAGCCATCCTCCCACCTCAGCCTCCCTAAGTGCTGGGATTACAGGCCTGAGCCACTGTGCCTAGTCAAGGCAGTTTTATTAATGAGACAACTAAGGTTCAAATGGATTAGTTAAGTGTCTGTTTTCGAGTTCACACTTCAGTTATTAGCAGAAGATGAAAGCCTAGTTGATATAAAGTAAGACTTTCCCAATGTAAAACACAACATAGGGCCGATTTTATACCAATTAATATTAGTTTAGAACTGAAACTATCAGGATTTATCTACAAAGACATGCAACATAATTTTGTTTATAATAGCAAAAACAAATAAGCAAAACTAACCTAATGTTCAAAAATAGGGAATTTGTTAAAGTTTCAAGCATATAATGTGGTGCTACACAACTACTAAAAGCACTACAGGAGACGTCTATGGTTAGAACACAGATACTAAAGTGTTAACAGATGTTACCTTAAGAGGGTGTACTTGTAGTTGATTTTCATTTTATTCTTTGGCATGTTCTACTTTTTTTTTTTTTTCAAGTTTCTGACAAATGACAGTAATAATCAAGGGAAAAAGGAATAGTGCTGCCAGTTTTACAGAGAAATTAAATTGTGGAAATAGGCTGTGGTAATCAGGAGGGCTTTTCACTGTATCTTTCTGGGCACCGTGTGGATGGCTGGGCGATGAAGTCTGGCCAATGAGCCAGAGTTCTGACAAGGAGCCTGGCAGCACTCAAGGTGGTCGTTTCCTCCTCTGTGGTTACCATCAGCCAGCATGAACCCATCATGAACAGAAGCAAGACCTAAAATTTTGTTTTCTTCTTTTTATTTTTTTGTGACAAGGTCTTGCTCTGTTGCCCAGGCTAAAGTGCAAGGTAGTGCAATCATAGTTCACTGCAGCCTCAATCTCCTGGCCTCAGGCGATCCTCCTGCCTCAGCTTCCCCAGTAGCTGGGACCACAGGCATGCGTCACCACTCCCAGCTAATTTTTTCTTTTTTATAGAGACAGCCTCTCACTATATTGCCCAGGCTGGTCTTGAACTCCTGGCCTCCAGTGATCCTCCTGCCTTGGCTTCCCTAAGTGCTGGGATTATAGATGTGAGCCACTGCACCCCACAAAATTTAGTCTTTTAAGCCACTGAAATTTTGAACTTGTTTCCAAAGAATAGTCTGACCTACCCTGCAGCCCCAGCTACTTGGAAGGCTGAGGTGGGAAGATCTCAAGATTTCTCAAGATACTCACTTCAGCACTTAATTAACCCATTTTCCTCTAGCCACTGGACACTCTCGGCCTGTTGGTCAGAATTCCTTAAAGAACTGCCAGGAGCCACAGCAGCTCCAGTCCAGGGCTTGTAGAGAAATGCGTTTTCAATTTCTTGTTGAAGATCTTTGAAGCCCAATAGGAAATTCACATAGGAAAACTCCTCACACATGAGTTATAAAACCATCTTCAGAGTTAGTATCTACAATTACGTTTATAGAAATTGGTTCAGTAATAATAGTCACAGAAACATATAAAAATATAGGTAGAAGGAGGTTGTGATGGAAGTACTGTTGTTAGTGCAAAAATAAAACAAAAACAAAAGAAATAAAGGCAAATGAACCTATGTGTCCATCAGTAGAAAATGAGTTAAATTTTTTAGAAAAGGTCATGCATATAATGTATATCTATGAGCTCTTAAAAATGATAAAGCAGCCAAATGTGGTGGCTCATGCCTTTAATCCCAGCAGTCTGAAAGGCTGAGGCAGTAGGATCCCTTGAGCCCAGAAGTTCGAGACCAGCCTGGGCAACATGGAAGATCCTATCTCTACAAAAAATAAATACATTAGCTGAGCGTGGTGGTATGCACCTGTACTCCCAGCTACTCAGGAGGCTGAGGTGGGAGGGTCACTTAAGGCTGGGGAGGTCGAGGCTGCAGTGAGCCATGATCATGTCACTGCATGCCAACCCGTGTGACAGAATGAGAACCTGTTTTTCTTTGGAAAAAAAAAAAAAGGCTGTGCATGGTGGCTCATGCCTGGAATCCCAGCACTTAGGGAGGCTGAGG